AAGGTGGGCTGCCTTAGTAACTGCTATTTCCATTTAAAGACTAAACACCAAAATTATTTTATATAGAAACAGCAAAAAGAAACTGCTCTGACAATTTTCAGTCATCTGCCATCTACTTCAATCATAAGCCTCAGCTACAACTAACTACAGTGCAATACAAGAATATTCTTAGGCATAGTAACAGTTTTTGGATAATTCCAATTGAGTAAAATTAAAATTACAGTCTATGGTGGGTAAACAGAAATGCATAATATGTTTGGCCTAGAAAAAGGGTGAACAGAAAACATCAAAAAGATATCAAACATAAAAAGCCTTTTTTAGATAATACTAAAGCAATAGGGCTGAATGTTTGTTTGCATTTATACTGACTCCAAGGAAACTCATCACGTCAATTCCCGTATCAGCACCCCTCTTCGTAAGGGCCAGAAACAAGTTCTCTGACATGAAGTACCAGCAGCAGAGGCCAGAAAACTAAGACAAAAGAAGCAGTAGAGTGTTGGCAGAACATACAGCACTTAGGAGACTTAGGGAAGCCAAAAGATGAAATGCCCAACCTACCGATGGTGCTGTGCAAGTTTGTCCTTAAAATTGTCTCAAGTTCAGAGACCTAAAAAGGTGCTTAATGCAATGCCAACACTTTAATGGCAAGGTGTAGAGAGAACACCTGATGTTAGTACTGGCAAAGTTGCTAGAAACTCTTGTACAGAACAGAGGTAGCAAACCCAAAAAGAAATGCAACGTGTTGGATTGGAAGAACCAATCACAGCTTTTGTAGGGAAACATCACATCTCACTGAAACCATTTCACTATTTTTTTAAGGAGTCAGTAAGCAAGCAAGACAATGGAAAGTTAATTAATGTAGTCTGTGGATTTGCATTTGACAAGATTTCACACCATAGCCTCTCTCAAAACAATGCTTAGCTGACACTGAGTAAGAGGGAAGATCCTCATGATCCTTCTAAAGAATTTCATGGAAAATACCTAACAGCAGCCAGGAATAAACAGACATGTTTCCACAGTCGAGAGAAGACTCTAGAGATTTCTGATGAGATTTCTGCTTGGGCTTGTATCATTTGATTCATATATGGAATCAAATGGTAAACAGTAAAGCATGAAATGGCAACAGTTGTTAAAAAATTATTTGAGTCAGTAAAGTTATGTAAGAAGATCTTGTAAAGCTGAGCAGTTGCTCCATAGAGGAAGTGACAGATGAAACACAATGTCAAGAGATTAAAAATAATACAGCTTCCATGATCAGTGTTGGGCTATTAACCCAATTCTAAGATTTACAAAAATGGTATCATAGAATTGAAATAAATATTTCTATGACAGTATTAGTTCATTGCTTGATAGGTAGTCCAATAATCCAAAATCCCAATTCATGAATCACAGAAGGAAGAGAAAACAACACAGAAACCACCACTATGCCACTACGTCTTAAATACTTTGTGCACTTCTGGTTCCAGTGGCTTAAAAATGCCTTAACTTCAATGGAAACAGTACAGAAAGACAAGGCATTAAAGTGATCCCATAACAATGCAAAATGAAACAGAACAGGATTTTACAAGTTTGGAGTAGAGTTAGCTGACAGAAGCTAGAATCTAGGTCTACAAAATCACAATGGATATGAAGAAGACAATTAGGGAATGACTATTTACTGTCACTTCCTGTACAAGCACTGGAAGTACAAGAAGCTATTTCGGTACAAGAACATGAGGACAAGAAATGAAGCTACCATCAAGAAAAAGCATACCACCTTTTCCAGAGGACATATACTCAAGTACAGAACTCCTAAGTACAGGATGTTGTAGGTGATGAAAGTGCAGACTGCTCCAAAATATAACTGAACAAAATAGATTGAGCTCCTCCAGAGGTACTCAGCATAAAGTGTTATTCTGGGCTCAGGAGGTGCTGGGTTGTAGACAGACAGATATTAGGAATACTCCTGCAAGCCTCTCTCCTATGTGCCACTGCTGGGAAAAAGCCTGCTAGAGCAGACGATCCTTCAGATTGATCCAGCATAGACACTATCATGCCGACTTCCTTCACCAGCTATAGCTCACAATGATGTTCTGAGTGACAAGTCATCTCTAAAAGCACTTAAGTGACCAGGAGACAAAGAAAACAGTCTACTGCATCTGTAAAATATTAACCGTGGGCCAGCAGGCCAAGCCAACATAAAGCACTGTTGTCAAACCATACATAACAAAAATTATCAGAGATATTTCTAAGGAAATAAACTACAACATTGGCTAAGCACAGCTTCTGCTAATATAAATATTGAACACTACATTTCATACCACTGTATGCATACCCTGGCACTCAGCCAGGTCCACTTACGTCACATCTTCTGATAAGGATTAAAGACAAAACATCAACATGAAGATTAAGGCTTGAATGCTCAAAACAGTTAGTGCAAAACAACTTTTCATCTACCTTCTTCATTTTATCTTCTATTAATTGCATCTTAGTTCCTGATCTTATCTGTCTTAAACCAATGCAAATTACAGAGATATGACTATAAAGACTAAATATATCACATAATCTGGTGTAAAGAAATTTATTCATATCTAAGAAGACTGTGTTTAAACTGTTCTTCAAAACCTCCCATGACGGACTTCCTACATTCTCTCTGGACATCCTAAATGGCTAAGACAGTAAACAGCTGAATTAAACTCTTCCCTAATTTTCATATTGTCTCCCTTACTGCATTTCATCTCTCTTTCAAAAAGCTAAATTAGACCTTAAAATGCATGTCTCATGGCATGAAATTGTGATAGGTATGGATCCTTTATTGCTTTCATACTCTACTGGAGGGTATTGGTTTTCCTTGTTCACTAGAACCTGAGAGGTTTTTTTCTGTGCTTTAACCAGTGTTAAATGCTTTCAAGAAAAATAGCTACAAAATCCAAGAATACTTCTCATTATATTCACTGTGATCTAAACTACACTTGATTATTTTCACTTTCTGTTGTGGAAATCCAAGGCAGAAATACTAAACTCACTGGAAAGAAGTCCAGGCCAGAATACTGCTATAATATTTCAAGTGAATCTCTACAATATACCATCTGCCATACTTTCTTCCTTAACAGGAGTAGTCAACATAAATGTGACTTACTGAAGAATCCTGACAACATTATCATATTTCTGAATTGAAATGACTTGATTACACTCTCCTTGAAGCTATTATTTACATCTTAATAAAGAATTATCATTACAGTTCTTTAATGGTTCAAAAGCAATCAAATAACAGTGAAAAACATAACCTGAGAGCAAAAAAAATTTCACCTAGTTATGTAGATTTGATAAGTGTGTTTAGCGTGAATAGCTCATAAAAAAATGAGCACATGAAGCAAAACTGAAAGAAAATTATTTATGCTCAGAACGAGGAAAAAAGGAGCACACAATTTTAATAAAAATACGGTTAACTTTGGGTCCACTGTCAGAATTAAAAATAACGAAATCCACAGCCTGCACCTCCCTGCCCTCAGCTTCTATAACATGTCCAAAATTCTTAGTTTTGACTGCAAATCTTTAAGGACCTTGTTTCAGGTTTTATTAATTCCCAAAGTGTTAATTATTTTTCAGCTCTGTTCCCAGGCCAAAAGTCAAAACACAGCACTGCACCAGCTACCAAGAAGAAGAAAAATGACTGCTACTGCTGAACCCAGGACACAAAAGCAATAGAATCCCTAAGAATACCTGGCTATTTCTAGCCTTCAGCAGATTTGAACATACTCAATTCTGTTTGTTTCATTACATGAACAACTGGAATATATAATAAACTTTAATAACTGTTAAAGAACTCTTAGATCTCTATCAAGCAAGAAAAATTCTGTACATATTATCTCAAAATATTGCTAGTTTTGCAGCAGTGAAAGTGAAGCAGACTAAACAAGTTAATAATACTTCTATTCAGAGGATGCAATTGGACTCAGGATTCTAAACAAGAATATCTTCTAAAAATTTTACACCACTTATTTATACCACCCCTTTAAGATAAAGCCATTTTATGTTATCACAATTAACGTAATTAACTTACCATAATTACACATCTTATTCATGATTTCTCAGGACAAGGTCAACCTTCTGAAGAAGGTAAGAAAGACACTTTACAGACTAGGAGCACAAAACCACTACAACCGAGGTCAGCAGGATACCTATTAGATGACTTCTGCTAAATGTAGTTTGTCCACACCTGACTTCCCCCTGCCTTCTCACTGCAGGTTTGTACCGGCAGATCATCCTGGACCTATCCGTAGAGCTACACACATAGTTCATCACTTGCTGGAACCTGCTAAAGTGGAATAAACTAGATTATGGGTACTATGACCATCTGCAGTAACTGCAGACAGTAACTACAAACAGGCAGGTGAGAGCAAGGATGCAGAGGTACCCTTAATTGATTTCAGTTATTTTTTTCATACAGTTCTTGACTTGCTGGCAAAAGAGTGAGAGAAAAAATTGGGATGGAGAGGGCAGGAAACACGACTGCTTTCTTCCCCTCTTGCTTCTGTCCCTTTGGTACTTTCAGTGAGAGTTCTGTGATATCAGTCTACTTGTTTTTACTCACTTAACAACAGCTGTGAAAATGCACATCATAAGAACAAATTATTCTGGTTAACAATATTGAAGTAATTAATTAAAATATGGTTCCCCTCTTTAAAAAGCTCTTTTCGTGTGAAATTTGTATGGAGTGACAGCAAATCTAGTTTAAGTCCAAGACTCTTCATAAGCACATGAAAATGGAAGATTATCAGAAGCTCTCCTAACAGTATTAAATAAAACACATTCTCAGAGTTAGTATGAACCAACAAAAATTGTTTCCCAGAAGGTATCCTATTAACTTGAAACCACATAAACAAAATTTGACAACATTTCATCATCAGCAGCTACTCACAAATCAAATCTTCAGTCTTATCTGCATACAGCCAGCTGGTTTTAAAATTCTGCTGTAATTGAGGGGGAAAATAATTAAGCAATATTATTAGTCATCTTACCATTGTTCCCTGGTGGTTGTAATGCATCTCCTGTCAAGCTACACCATCCGACTGGGAAAATATCTCGAGAATCACATCTGCACCAATAGTCAAATGCTCCTCTCCAGCCATCAAATGTAACAAAAACTTCATCTCCTTTAACATCTCCTATGGTTGCTGGGCAAATCAAGTATGGGTTCTTTCTATCTATAGCTTCAAGTTTCATTCCAACTTTAAAGCAGTTTGGCACAGGTTTTGGTGGTTCCTACAAAAGAAAGAGCGACAGAATATTTGCATTTCTATGGCCTCTTAAAAAAAAATAATCACAAAAAAGAAAACCATCTATTTTTCCTCAACATCCTTACCTCTTACACTCACTACTCTCAAAAAGTTATGGCAGACATTCAAGAAAACTTACTTGTATTTCAAATGTGCTTCTGCTTTTCTGTATTATAAAAATCTAGATTCTGTTCCCACAGACACAGCTGGGATAATTAGCAAAATTCTCCATGACAGAAAGACCCTGCTAGAAATATTTACATAAGCAATAGGTTGCACCCAATACATTATGTCTGGGCAGCAAGACAGCAAAGACACTAAAAGGAAATTATTACATGCTAATAAAGAGGAAGAGATTTGCAGGGAATGAATATTTCTGGGGACTGATAACTGTCTGGTAAAAGCTTCACCTCTCAATCCATGAAAAATTCATTAGCATTGGACATTATTTATAAGCCTCAGTTAGTTCAGTTGGCCTCATACCAATTCCAAGTGGACACAAAAAAAAAAAACAAAAACCAAGTCAATGTGATGAGACTAAGTGTACCCCCACAACAGGAGTTGTGACCCAATGTGTCCTGGGTTCAGCAGTAGCAGTCATTTTTCTCCTCCTTGGTAGCTGGTGCAGTGCAGTGTTTTGACTTTCAGCTCGGGAATTGAGCCGGTAACAATGATGTTTTGGTTTGGCCAAGGACTTTGTGAGCCTCATGCTCTGCCAGGGAGGAGGGGAAGCTGGGAGGAAGCAGAGACAGGACACCTGACCCAAACTGACCAAAGAGGTATTCCATACCATAGCACGTCATGCCCAGGAGGTAACTGGGAGTTACCCGGAAGGGCTGGGGGACTGCAGAGTTGGAGGAGGTATCAGTGAGAGCTTGGTCAGGCTGGGGGGGTGAGTTATCGGTCGACTGGTGGTGAAGTGATGTATTCTCTTCCCTTGTTATTTTCTTTATCATTATTATTACTGGTGGTAGCAGTAGTGATCTGTGTTATACCTTAGTTACTAAACTGTTCTTATCTCTACCCGTGGGAGTTGCATTCGATTATCCTCTCCATCCCTCTGGGAGTAGGGGAAGGGCAAGAACGGGGAGAAGTGAGTGAACAAGCTGTCTGGCTGGGTTTAAACCACGACACAATGGAACCTGAATTACGACCTCAGCCTCAGTAACCTCATTATCCAAAAGCCATCTCAGATGTGCTGGTAGGTTAGCACAGGGAAACATGGCTCCTCACGCCTCAGGAAATCTATACAATCTTTTATTAAAAAAAAAAATTACTTAATTATATAAAGGTAACAGGCAAATGATGTGATTGCAGGTCTGAACCCAACTGTTGGATTTGCTGACATACTTGTCAATGTCTCTCTCAGTATCAAAAATGAAGTCACTCAATGTGACAGCAAGGTTTTACCACCTCGACAAAAGATTAAACCAACAAGTCATTTCAATATTACTGCTGGGGTTATATCATTTTTTTAATTTACTCAAGGCATGTTTAAAAAAAATGAGCAACTGCTTCTGCTATTTTCAACTATGTTCTCACTACAGTTAAACTGATGAAAATGTTTAACAAAACCTTTCCAAGCACCACTGTATTCCAATGACTTATTCCCCATTGTTGTATTTTTTCCTTCTCCTGTGCACAATCACATTAATATGGTGCTGTTAAGAAATGTGATATGTATTGTACTGACACAAAAAATGAGCTAACACAATTTTTCTAAATAATACACCATACTTCAAAAATCTCAATTCAGGAACAGACATGCCCATCTCAATTGACTAGAAGCAGATCACTTCCTGTAGCTTGCCAATCCAGTTCAAAGTAATTTTAAATAGTCTTCCCTTGCCATGCTGCAGACAACAGGAAAATATCTTGGCATCCTCATTTAAAAAATGGATTCATGGGCCAATTGATAAAAAGTTGTTTATTAGCAGTCCCTTTCTTCTTACCTTCTTAAAGAATGTTGCCGGTGCCATTTCAGCTCCATTGAGGGTTCTTAAGAGAAACATTGGCCAAGAAGATGCATTCATCTGGAACCCTGAGTAACAAAGAAAAAATAGGCCTACTTTTAGTTTGTAAAATGAAATAGAAGGATATAAAGTCGGCTTACTAATGCCTCATTGCCTCTGTTTTCGATTTGGCCAAAATAAAAGTAGCCAAGAAGGAACAAACAGGGTCACTGTAGGTGCAGAAACCCCTGCAGTGCATTTCCATTCCGATTGACTTGCCTGCAGAATCACTCATCATAATTTTTGACACTACAGAGAAACATCTAGGACTTATTGACATGCAGGCTCTAGTACAGGAGATCATAAGGTTGTCACCCACAGTCCTGGGTCCAGTGGAACTTTCCCAGCACTTGTGCCTAGCTAACTTTTCAGGTCTGCTTTTTGCTTACATTCTAAAACAACGGAATCACAGAACCATAGAACAGTTGGGGTTGGAAAGGCCCTTAAGATCATTTGGCTCCTGCTCCAGCTCCTCTCATTTGAGATACGTTTTTATGTTCAAGACTCTTGTAATTCTTTCACCAGGCCACAGACAAAAAAAGAACAATCGGTTTCTTCCCCCTCCCCTATTAAGATAAATAAATAGCCCTAAACCCCAAAGAAATCATAAGAGGAAAGAACAAATACACAATTATTTTTACAAATGCATATATAATATTGGAAAACAAACTGGAAGAGGTTTCTACTTCAATATTCTTCAATAACAAGAAAGTAAAAAGCACAAAAAAGAATCACATTTGTTTAGATGAACTACCTTATTCAAGCAGAACAAAGGTTTGGCTGAAAACATTCTCATGCCAGATAATTTTCCCCCAGAAGCAACTACTTTCCAGTTAAAAAATAAAACAAAACAAAAATCCTTTTGCTTTCTGTGCTTTCCAAATGGATGTTTCAAAGTAATAAGTAAGATAACAGAGATAGTGGACATTTTCTTCTGTGTCTTTAGCAGTTATATGTCTGGCACAGTTCTACAGAAAATAGACATAATAGAGCAAATTGGAAAATTTTCCACAAAGCAAACAGTAAAAGAATCTGCCAGGAACTGATGAGCTCTCTTGCAACTGAGCCTTGACAATTCTCTTAAAAGAATGAACTAGAAAGGTGGAACATATCTGCTATTCTCAATCAGTTAAATCATTAAGTCATCTAAAATTGGATTATATACTATAATGGTTCTTTAACTAGTAGCTTACGCTATCTTGATTTGAATAAACAGTTTTCAAGTTGGAACTACCTATGCAACACCTACATGAATACAAAGCTCCTATTTGATAAATGGTGTTGTAATTTGAGGACTGCTGAGCTGATTATCAGTTCTGGTTTGATACCAGAGTCTATACAACCTAAGCATGTCTGATTACTGAAACACAATATTCCTAACCAGGTAGCGCAGAAAAGATATATATAGGAATGTCAGCTAAACAATAGTTTCAGTTAATTTCATTTGGCCTTTAATTCATCCTGGTAAAACAAGAGAAAATGTTATCCTCAATGTAATTTGTTGAGAACATTAAGCTCTCTACAATAAAAAAAAGTAAAAAAAAAAAAAAATCACCTGGCTGGATCAGGAATGCTTTGCTATATTAATCGCTTTCTCAAAACCCTTATGTAACATGCATAATTATACCTATATAAAAATCAAGTAGGAGGGACTATTTTAGCTAGTTATTATGAACAGAAGCAGAGCATTAGTATCCAGAAGGTTCCATAGCACTCAGGAAAAAAAAAATTAATCAGTTGCTTAAATGTCTAACAGGAGGTAATTATACACCCAATTAGCTCCCAGCTTTGCCCAGGAACAGGATGCTGTAGAACTGCCAAAGAGGATTTTTCAAAAATTTATCTAGGTATGCCAGAACATTTTATTGCTGGAATTTAGCCTATCTCTAGAAATATCTAGGGCAGAAGGGACAAAATAATGGCACTCGCATTCTTTTCTGAATAACCAGCAATTGTTCGGAGGGCAGGTAAACTTACACGCCTAGGTACAGGGAACAGCTGGTTGTTTGGTGCTGCACTACCAGCAGCCTGACCAAATAGGAGGAACAAACAGTACTGCTTCTGCTGATGATCATGGAAAGTTTCTCTTCTTAAGAGATCAATTGCCTCCATTATACATAACCAGAGTTGCTTTATTCATCAGACTGGTTTAGAAACACGTTTGAAAAAGCACTATGCTCCTCAACAGAAGCCATATATTTAGCATGGTACATATGTGCAGCTGAAGGAATAGGTGTACTTTTCTCTATTACAATCCTGTTTCATACTCATATCACTGCTTTCACTCTACAAGGTTATACCAAGAACTTCAGAGAAGTTAAACTGAGTTACTTCTCAGAAGTGACACACCCAGGGGTCAAGAGCTTCTAGGGCTTTCATTCAAAACCTCTATACTCCAGAGAAAAGAAGGAAAAAAGCCCTTCCGGGTTCAAACTTTATCTATTCTATGATTCTATGATTCTATTTATCTATCTACTTATCCATCCCAAATGATATTTTTCTAAAAGACACTCTGGTGGCATTGCTTTTTCTTGTGTTTCTAAAGCAGCACAACAAAACAAAAACCTACCATTATAATTTCTGTAAAGTGTCATAATGGTTATGTCAACTGCTCCTATGTCTGTTTGCCTTTGTATATGCAAATCAAGTTTCATACCGTAGTGAAACGATACTTTTCACTTCGTGTTAACAAATTGGGATGACAAGCTTCTGAGAGGCTACTAAGAGAAAGCATACCTACCTTACGAAATCTCTGATGAGAAATCTGTATACTTACTAATGACACCAAACCAGATGTAGGTTCATAACTATAAGATGGGAAAACAGCAGTAACATTTAATTTCTTATATTAAGAATGTTATTTCTTGCATCTTCTAAAAATTACAGGTCAACAGGGGAGGAGATGTTGCTGTTGTGGAGGCTTTGGGGGTGTGTTAAGATAAATTCTGGTCATTACTTTTCCTTCTTTTTAAAAGCTGAACTACTTTCAGACCAATGTGAAAAATGTGTTTCTTTAAAGACTTCCACACCTACAAGTTCAAGCTATAACAAATATGGCACAAGAAAGAAGATCTAAGTATACAGGTTTATCACAGCAAAGAAAGGTGATATCCCAGTTTACCACCCCTAGCAGTTAGTCAAAGTTACCTCTGACTATTCACCACATAGCAAGGAATTCCTTTGTACAGTTCCCTATTTAAAAAAACTTCCTCAGTAAGACTAAGCCCCTCAGTTTGGGGAGATACATAATGTTGTCACCCATATTGCTTATGGAAGGCAAAAAAAATTCTGCATACTATTTCTAAGCACATGAAAGCTACCTCTTGTTCCCAAGCATTTGTTGTGATCACAAACCAGCCATGCCAAACTGCAGATGTCCCACAACATGAGTTGGTTTGAGGAGAATCACGTATAATATAAGCTTGCAGTCTGGTGAAGCTCTGGAGTGCTCTTTTTCCTGCCGCAGAACAGAATGCTGCAATACTGCCGTTAACCCACCCTTTGCTGCCTTTCCCAGACCACAAACCAATTTGCTCAGTGCCCGTGAAAACACTCAGGCCGCCCTGAGCTGCTGCACCTCCTGCAGCCCTGCTAGGCGCTTCACAGGTCGGTTAACAGCCAGCGCCTTCTAGTGGACTGCTCTGATTTACTGGGTAGAAGAAAGGCAAGTCAGCTTTCCCCGCTTTTTACGAAGGTCTGACTAAAAGAAGTACACACAGCATCAAGCAAGAAAACGTTGTAGCCATACACACTAGAATGGGCACATGGCAGCGTATCTCATCATTAAGTGTAAAATAGTCCCATTTATTACTAAGGGATTATTTTAAAAGAATTGAAAACAACAGAACTCAAGCTAATTATTCATTCTGCTCATTCTTACGTCAAAAGAATCCAAAAAGAACAAAAAGCCACAATTCACCTTACCTGAATTAGCTTGCTTACCTCTTTTTCAATTAAATAATAGTTTGGTGAAATGTTAGTACCACTGAATTTGCCAAGGCTCAAATCAACTTCATGAAAGCAATATTCCCATGCTTTAGTTGAGAAGCTTTGTTTCTTACCAAGTGGAGGCTGGAGCATGCCCCCTTTCTTTTCACAGGTTCCGATGGGCTGTATGTCTGAGGAATCCACAAGCCTCCAAAAATCATTTTTGTTGTCACTTCCATCCAGACGCAACCTCAGCCTGGCACCAGTAATTCCAATTACTGTAGCTATACAAACTGAGGTAACATTGCGAGGATCACGGGCTTCCAGTTTCATCCCAACTTTGAAATCGTTCGTAGGTGGAATTCTAGACTACAATAAAAGGTAAAAGGCTTTTTCTTACTGTTGTTAGTATGGCTAAATTTACCAGCCAGTTCAATATGCAGCTTTCATGCACCCAAACATATCATATAAACGGTAGATACTAAAAAAGCCTTTGAACTTTGAGTGTTCAGCAGCAGGTCGGAAAAGGCAGTCGGATAACCTACCAACAGCAACTGGTTTAGATACTTGATGTTCCTACTGCATAAACATGTCTGATTTCTAAGAAGATAAGCACGCCAAGAAGGGTAAACAAGGGAATCCTGATGAAGATATGAACATAAAGGTCCAATGATTAATACTTGAAAGGAATGGAAAACAACGACATTGGGAAACATGACATTCAACTAAAAAAAAACAAAACCCTAAATCACTCAACCAAAACAAAGCACCCCACAAACCAACCTACAAAAAAAAAAAAAAACCAAAATTCACAAGCTTTCAATTGAAAAGCAATAATTATTATAGTAATATCTGGGAAACTTAAACCAAATCTGGACCCTACACACTAAGCACTACGAAAGTTCAAGGCAAGAAAGAGTTTCTGAATCAAAAAAATACGCCAATACAGACAACAGAAAAGGGAGTTAGTGTTAACTGCGTTAACAGAAAGAAAACAGACAGTCCTAAAGTCACATAAAACTTTAAAGTTCTAAGACAGAAATTGCACCTGTTGCTTATTCATAGAGAACTGAATATATCCATACACATACAATGCAATGCCAATTTAATGATCACAGGGAAAAGAAACGTGATGAATGCGACTCGGTCTTTGAGCAGAACTTTTTGTCCCAAGCTAAACGAAAGATAAGGAGAGTATATTTTACTCATGTGTCAACATATTTCTGGCTGGATCTCATTCTGATACTGTAATACTGTAGGCAGCAATATCATCTAATGGTGTTCAAAACTTCATATTGACATTAACTGGGACTGAATGCTTCTCACTATTCTCTTCAGATGACTCCTCGTTTCCAGCTTAAATTTATGAATGGCAATTTTTGCCAACACTGTAATTTAACTTAAATTCTTCTTGCACCTTTGCAAATAACAGCCTACAGTGTATTTACAGAAGGCCCTTTTCCAGTACTCTTTCAACAAATTAAATAAGCCAAACACTGAAGTTTCTCTTATAAGAGGATGACTATTCTTCTATCATCCTGGAAGTCCTTTACTGCAACTCTTCCAGTACAAATCTGGTCTTGAACACAGACGCTGACAACTACAGCCAGCCTTCCCCATGACATTTATACCCAGTACCTATCGCATGTAAACACATGGGAACACAATCTGAATCCTAACATGGGAGGCAGGTAGAAAAAACAAAACCATGGGCATTCACACTCACAAGATTCGTATGACCCCTCTCCTGCCTGCCTGACCAGTCCAGGTGAGGATCCCACAGTAAGCAGAGAAACTGCACGTCTCTATCAGGGTACACAGGAAAAGGCTGAAGAAATATGCTACTTCAAAAAGTGTTAGTGGTATTTTCCCCTCCACCACACTTAATTTTTTTATTAATACAATTTATTAATAAATACATCTTGCTCTGCTTGCTATGGTGTGCAGGTGCACTATCTACAACACATCCTAGATAAACACCAGGAGGCCTGGTGGAGCCCAAGCCCAAAAAGCAGAGGCACTCAATATTCAGTGAACACTGAGTGTAGCATCTGCTAATGTTGCATTTAGACAACAGGCTGTCTGAAAGGGGAGCTTTAGCATATTAAATTTAAAGGGCAATTCAATTTCAGGATATTGCTTGTCCAGCTGTTATGTTCTACAACCATGAAAAGCAACTGAAATGGAGAAATTGAGGTGATTGATTGTTTGTAGAAAAGGTGAATTGCTTAAATACCAACAACTCCAGGCATTCTATTAAAAAGGTAACTCCTCCATGCCACTCTGTCCTTACAGCAAAGTAACAAAACCTATTTCGTAAGGGCCTCTTTCTAAGCTCTGTTTAAACCACACGGGACTGAGCTTTTTTCATTTAAAGTTTTCAACTACTTGGAAAAAAGTTTCAGGGCATGAGAAAGGGATGTGGAATGCTTCAAAATTTTAAGTAGCAATTATAAACAACTTAGAGCAAAAGATAAAATACCTTCTAAATTAAGATAAATACTTTAATAAATTTCCATTAGCAGTCTGTGCCTGTATCTTAATTTATGATACAGGCTTTAATTTATTGCTCCCTGGGTCATTTTTAATTACTACAAAATTTAAACTTTGTAGAATTCCCACAGGTCACAAACTCTAGATATAATTCTCAAATAAAGCTTTTCTCTGCTACTTGTTTTCTGGTTAGCCACAGCAGTGTATTCCCTTGCATTACACAGGGTGATAAAGACACGTACAATTCATGTGTAACCCAATAAAGTCAAATTAGTCCCACACAAAGCTCAAGCACTGTAATTTCTAAAATCTGGGAACATTCTGCAGTGAGAGGAGCTAGCTCTGTACTAATTAACATTGCATATCACTTTCTTCTTAAAAGGTCAATTCTTAGAAAAACTGAGTCTGCACATGTAAATTGTTTCAAAATTTGTTATGCACAGAAATTAAAGCTCTTCTTTCCAACCCACACACTCCTTAAGCAATACAGGTCACCAGGATTTATCTATCTTGGTCAATTCACACCACTTAAGCATCTTTATTTAAGGTGTTACTTTGTTGTTCAGTTTGGACCTCCTGACCATTAGCAGGGAAGAGGAAGATGTAGGAAAGGAAAGGCTTCTGAGCAGCTTTCTGCAGTAGCTACACCTCTCAGCAGTGTACACTCTGGTCATGGCAGTCTACCATCTGAGTATGGCAGTAACATCAAAATGATCCAGTAATATGCTATTGCCCTCTGTCTCTACGTAAGCCATGTTTGAAGTCTTTGCCTTGAGCTGGTATTCACTGTGAAAAACACACACTGTAGAATTAACCTCTGAAGCTCCACTCACAGCTACAGACACTGCTATTCTTAGCTATCTCTCACTGAAAGCAGCATGTAAGGGGCTCTTTGTCCTTTCATCTGCAAAAAGCAAGATGAGATTCAAGATCTAATACAAGGAAATGCTACCACCTGCACTTCTCGCTCCCTGTTATCCATACCCGCAACTACTTCAGATTCACCAAATAATGGTTCCGCTTCACCTCAATGACATTCTTGTTGCGTTTTGTCTGACCCCGACTAGAGGCCAGTATTACTTACAGTACCATCAGACTACCAACAGACCCTACAAGATACCTTTCTGAACATGCTCTGTCTGCTGAACTAGACATGCTCCACCTGTCACACCTATTACAGTTCTATTAACCTAAACTATCCAGTTCCTTCAGCATCTATCTTCCTAACGCAGTGAAAGCATACAGGTCAAAACTCATCCTATTTAACTTTACACAGCTAAGATACTCCTCAGCTTGGGAAAATACCAACTCCAGCTTCCTCTACTGAGAGAAAGATACCTGCAGAGGTCAACTCAGTCTCCAGAGGGCTGGAGTCATTAGTTCACACAAGATGGCAAATTTAAACTCCATCTGCAAATACATACTAAACCATCTGGCAGTGGGGAATCAAACTTGTAGGGCACAGTGCAAAACATAAAACAATACATTAAACACCTTTCACTATAAATCCAGTGTTTCCTTTGTATTCCCATATATTCCCCTTGATTTTTTTTTTCTAAACTTCAATATCTGTTACTACTTAGCAAAAGCAGTCTGCTCAGAACCTATTTGAGAGATACAGAAAAGAAGTGGTGAACAAACTCTACTACACACACAGACACACACATCTTGTAGCTAGCCATTTTTGAAAGGACTCTTTAAACAAGGCAGGAGAAAGGCTCCTCTGATCATCAGCCATATTTTAATTCTCACTAAAACCACGGTACCTCTAAGATTACTGAAAAAAAATTAGAAAATATTTTTGAACTCTGATAAGACTGTTTTCATTAACTAGTCAATTTTAAAAGGAAGAGTCCAAAGCTACAATTTTAATGAAACCCTCAAAGTTTGGCTTGAGGCAGAAAGCAAGAATGAAAAACTTCAGTAGCTCGGATCTGCCAAAACTGTAAGCTACTGATAACTAGAGATCAAAAGGAATCGAATGGGAAGTTTGCGAGCAATCTAAACATAGAAGTTGCTCTAGAATCATCACCCTGTAACATGCATAAATACATACACACTTGCAAAATAGTATCTGGCATACCTGTCTGAAACAATGCAGAGGGGCAGCTACTGTTTCAGTCTCTTTCAGATAATCATCCCAATTAAACTGCTCTGGAAGACACAAGATAAAAAAACACCATACAGACACTTTTTAAAGGGAACTTAAATTAAAAAGGAGGGGTGAGGAAAGAAAGGGTCAGAAAAACTCAACTACCTTGTAGATTTTTTTTTTTCAAGAACAGGATTACTCTCAAACAGAAACTCCAGCTTTGAAAAAACAAACAACTCTTGAAAGAGCTTTAAGAGTACTGTTAATGCATAGGGGGATCACACAATAGACAAAATCAATATAAACCTTCCCCTGCATACAAAGATACAAGTCAGGCTTTCTAGATTCAATTTTCTGCATAAGGACCTCCCAAGCATCCTTGTACAAATCATGTTAGCGTTTCTGTATCTTAGTTCCCCTGTCAGCAGCACTTACATGATAACCTCGTAAGAGTGCTGACATGATGCATGCTGAAAAAGCACAAACACATAGATTCTGTTGAAATATATGTTGAGAATACTACCCCCAGTCCACTAGAAAGGAAAAGGATTAGCACAGCCTTCCAACTGCATCTTGCTTCTTTTCATCTGAAGTCTGATAAAGATTTCTCTTTGCAGGGTAAACATTATTATGGCAATGTTCAGCAACAGCATCATAGTATGCTTTCCAGTGCTGACATTGGTACTGTTTACATGCATGCGTGACTGTAGTCTGCATTTGATTTAATCAGTGTTATCAGTTTTGCACAAATGCAACAGTATGAAGTACTAACATATAAGACATAAGCAAGCATTACTTAAATTAATATAATGGCAAAAGCTAATGCTTTTGTTCTTCAATTATCTAAGTGAGCAATTTTGCTTATTTTTCTTGTTTGGGCAGCTGGCATCTTTCCGATGTTCCTGAAGAGTAAATCACCCATGAACCCCAAAATGACGCACTGATGCCACCCAGTGGCTCAGCAACGGCCATTCACACAGCCTATAGCAAAAATCCCTGGTGACAATGGAGAGACTACACTGGCTTTATACTAATCTTCCCCAAAACACCACCAGGCACAGTTAAACACACCTCTGCAACATTAAGGAGAGAGGAGACGCAAATAAATAATCTGAATATGGCAGCATTTTCCAGCACTCTCACATGGCTTCTCTGAAGGATGCACAGTGGCTCAAACAGAGTCTGCCTGCATTAGCACACCATTTAGTTGAAAGTATACAGTGCTGCAAGTAGAAGAGAACTACCCTCCTGGCCTGCCAAGACCCTTTTTGGCATAACAAACTCAAAAGTGTACAAGTGATTTGTCCCTGGCACTGCAGAGGCCATGTGGTTGTTAGCTATGTAACAAGTCAGTAAAATCTCAAAAGATGTTCATTTGGTGGTCTGGACTGTATGTAGGCCAGTAACAAAGATGTTTCCATGCAACATCTTAAAAGTCTGCTTATTTTGGAATGAAAATTTCCATCACAAATTTATACCATTACATCATTTTTGTATTACTGACAAAAGTCAGGGTACATTAACTTAAGCGTATGTTAGGTATTTGTATTTCAGGAAGGCATGCTCAGGAAATGGCACTTCAGAGCTTTCTCCAGAAAGTAGCCTCCAAATCCATTGCTCTTTTCACTGACAGGCCAAGGACACTGCAAAAATTAACTATGATGAACTGCTATAGAAGCTTCATTAATAATAAAGTTGTTGCTTACGTTTGACTTCTGATTTAAAAATAAATATATAAAAAGTTATTTTAATCAGAGTTTACCTTAGTAAACTTTAAAGTACCAAATTCAGTAAAATTAAATGTACCAAAAAGAAAATGTTAGCTATATCCCAGCTATCTCTGATGTAAAATGATGTAAAACATGATGTAAAAGCTGTAATTATGAATCAGAGCCTCAAGATGTTAAGGGCCGTATAAAAGTAGATATTTTAGACACAGCACCTTTCACTAGGATTAACCTCCAAAATAATTACCTGTATATACCATCACTTCCCAAATGATCTCAATTTTTTTAACAGGACTGTAAATTTGGTGGCATGACCAAAAATCAGAGCAGAAATAAACAGATTTTTTTTTTTTCCAAGGGAATATTCACTAGAAAGACACATAAGGTAACATAAGCACCCAGCTGCAGATAAAGCCAAGAGGAAAACAATGTTGCCTCACTCTTTGCTTTAACTCCTGGCTATCAAAACCTCTTTCATCAAGCACAAATGACCTGAAATTTAAATTAGAACCTCTCCACCTGTGAAAATACGCTGTATTAAATTAAAACCAAGCTCTCAGAGATGGTGCTAATTATCATTTAATTACTGCACTCATAGAAACAGGAGATGAATGTATGCTTGCAACATGTAAGATGCATGTCTAGGAAGATAATCACATTGAAAAAAAAAAATCTCTGCGCAAAAAGCTTCTCTGTATTCTCAGTGTCCACAGGTAAAGAAGTAGTTGTTTTATATATATTTCTAATTCTAAAGCCTTTGAAAACATGCAACTTCTGAAAAATAGAAAACCTTAAGAAAATTAGCTCTCACTAAATGACTCGCATTTCTCTTCCCACTCAAATCCGCAGGCTGAATTAAAAGGCTTAAGAAAAAACCATTATGCAACAAGCACAACTTTATAACCCATCAGCAAAGTGAAAACTAGGGAGAAAGGAATTTTAAGGCTGAAGAACATGCCAGCATATACTGGAAGCAGGAAATATGTTATACCACAATGAAAACAAGACCTTTTGTAAACAAAACGAACTAACAAACCCCAGTTTTTATCAACACAGGACTGAGACTCTAGAACAGTGATCCAAGACAATCAGCATGGGCAAACAGCCTAATTTGAAAATGGAGGAAATAAGTTTATGCCATAGTTGCCAGCATTCCTGGCAACAACCCATGGGTCAATGACCCTTGATGCTCTCTGCAGTTCTGTATCAATACCCTATCATTTCCTGTCAAACCTGCCAATCACAAAGTAACTCAAGCTAAAAGGGACCCCAGGAGGTCTCTAGCTCAGTCTCCTGTTCCTCCAGGGTTCCATCACCCTCAATGTGTTTTTTATTTCCATCAAGGAGGAATTTTTCATGCTGCAGCCACTGTTTGTTACTTCCCATCCTTCCACTGTGCCTGTGAGGGAATCACAGAATGGTTTGAGTTGTAACAGACCTTAAAGATAACCTAGTTCCAACCCCCCTGCCATGAGTTCCAACCTTCCACTAGACAAGGTGGCTTAAAGCCCCATCCAGCCTGGCCTTGAACACTTCCAGGCATTGGGCAGCCTCAACTTTCCTGGGCAAAGCCTGGCTCTGACCCCCTGCACCCACCTGTCAGGTAACTGAAGACAGCAAGCCCATCTTCCATAAGCTTTCTCTTCTGGTTGAAGAAACCATTTTTCTGGTTTCAGTACCAGTTTTCTGCTTACATCTTCATTTCAATTCCTTCATCTATTTTGCTGGACTGCCAGCCAGCTTGCTCCAGTATAGAACAGTCTTCCTTGTACTGGGGAGCTCAGAGTCAGCTGAGACACACCTGTACAACACAGCACTGCAGAGATAGTCTCACAAATATCAAAAAGCAGCAAATCCCTTCTCTCAGCCTGCTGCCTACAGTTTTGCTGTTAGGACTCGATTTGCAGTTAAAATCTTTCGCCACAAGAGTACACTGCCGGCTCACACGCAGCTTGCTGCCTGCCAGCATTCCAGTGCTTTCCCTGCAGAAATGCTTGCCAGCCAGCCAGCTTCCCGACTGTGCTGCTGCAGGACTCGAGTCTGCCCCGAGGCATGAGGAACCCTCCATCTGCCTTTGACTCTTAACTGGGTTCCTGTCAGAACAATTCTCTAGGATGGCGATGTCCATCTGAAGAGCAGCCCTGCCTTCCAGCCCACTAGATAGTTCCCCAGTTAGATGCTGCCTACAAACTAGCTGACAGCATGCTGTCCAATCGTCCCTGTCTCTCGGTAAGGCATAAATAGCATCAGCCATACTACTGACCTCTGAGAAACGCCACTAGGTACCAGCAGATAGGTAGACCTTGTACTGTCTGGCAGTCAGTCAATTTTCCATCCACCTATCCAAACCACACCATACCAGTTTTGCTGAAAGGACACTACAGACACCCTACAGAAAGCCTTGCTAAAGTCAAGACAAACAACACCCACTACTCTCTCCTTGTTTACACGATCACTTACGACAGAAGGCAGTCAGTTACACATGGCTCACACTTGGCAAATCCATACCAGCTGTTCCTAACCTCATTTTTGTCCTTAATTTGCTTGTAAATGACTTCCAGGAAGAGTTTTCTCCATAGTCTTCCTGAAGGCTGAAGTCAGGCAGGCCAGGCTGTAATTCCCCAGGTGATCCCTTCTTGTGCTTCTTGATGCTGAGCATACTCTTCATTCTCCTCCAGTAATCATGAAACTCCCCCAATCACTATGACCTCTCCAAAATGAGAAAGAAGTCTCACAGTGACATTGGTCATCTATCTCAGCACCCTTGGAGACATCCCATCTGCTCCCAGGAATAGGGGAATGCCCAGTTTGCTAAAGTGCTCACTGTCATCTTCTACTGTACATAATGCTTCAGTTTAGTTTAAGCCAAAGTTTCATAAAATTTAAATTGAAAATTTAAACTACGAGTTAAATGTCACTTCTACATAGGTAAAATTTAAGATCCTGGTTTATTTAGGTTACAATACAGTATCACCATAGCCTAAATACTGTTTAAGCAGACTGAGCACCTCGTGTCCTCTGATCTCATCCTTAGGTTCCCTTGGCACACATGTATCTGAGACTTTTGACACAGAGAGAGGAGATTTAGATAAGATATTACAAAAAAATTATTCACTGTAAGGGTGATGAGGCACTGGCACAGGCTGCCCAGAGAAGCTGTGGGTGCCCCATCCCTGGAAGTGTTCAAGGCCAGGTTGGACAGGGCTTTGAGCAACCTGGTCTGATGGAAGTTGTCCCTGCCCATTGCAGGGAGGTTGGCACTTCCAACCCAAGGGACCACTTAAGGTCCCTTCCAACCCAAACCATTCTATGACTGTATGACCACTTCAGCCTTCATCCCACAGTCCCTCTTTGTCAAAAATGAGGCCTCCTTTTAAGTTTTCTTTGCATACTCTTTCAAACATATTAGTTTAAGTGTCAGGGTATTTCATACCCTGCTTTATACCTTGAACCTCCTATATGCTGTGATCATTCCATTAGACTCTTTCTCCTCCTCCTGTTGTCTACCTACTTTAGACTGTTTTTTCACCAGTTTGTACATCTCTGTATTTCGATCCTTTTCAGCTTTTCTTATCACACATCCCCCTGGTAACTCCAGGATTTCCTGGATGCTAGCCCAGAGCATTGTAAGACATCTTTCTTCATCCAACTTCAAGAGGCTCTTTCCTCTTCCTTGCCACCAACAAGTAACAGCACAGGATTAAAAATAAATAAATAAATAAATCAGAGATCTTCCATGATCTTGAGCAAGGCACTCATCTCTAAGTGTTTGACACAGCTGAGTCTAGACTTCACAAGTAAATGCAGTGCTCAGACACTAGATTAACAGCGTAGTCTTGATTGGAAGAATACAGATGACAGAATAAGTCTCGCCTGCTTAGCACTACTTCTCCACAAAGCTTTTTCAACACCTTGCAGAAGGAAGCAGTGACGTTTTCCAGTGACTCATGAAATACAGTTATCTTATCCACAGCACTTTGCTGGGGGGGGGGGGTGGTGGTGATCTATGGGGCTCCCTCTGTTATGTCAGACAACATTATTTTAAAACGCAGACATGCTATCCGACTCCAGTTTGGCTGGAGCTCCTCTTACACTGCATAAGAGGGAAAACAAGACACAAACATGCTTCCTTTTCTGTCCCAAAGAAACAGGGAAGAATAACAAAGATGGCTACTAGGACTCCAAGAAACTGAAGAATTAAGTCTGGCAAATGTAACAGCAGAAAGCTGTACTATGGCTGGTGGTAATAAGGTATCATTTCTTACTGCCACATATTCAAGCAATGTACATGAAAATATGAAAGGTATATAAGGATGCTGCTGCCCTCTCGATGCAGCCACAAAAGATAAACTGTCAGCAATCCCATGTATATGCTGTTCCATGGCACCTGTGGAGGATGGCAGAGGCTGTCTTAGTTTGATAAGAAGCTGGATCATTTCTGGCAAGTGTGTAGTTTATTATAAAAACACATTTATTTGTGTTTCAAAATTTATTTGAAAACAATTTGCTTTAAGTAAAATTAGAATCTCAGGCAATTTAATCCAGTTAGCAATCCCAAAAACTCAAGGGTATTAAACTGAAAATCCTTTCTTTGGCATGAGCAAACACATTAAGGAAAGAGAAAATAGCTGCAGCACCAAAGTCATGAAACTGTGAAATACAGGATGAGAAGAAAAAATACCAGTAATCATCTAAGAAAATTATTGCTTACACAATATCTTTGATTATATATACAAAGAGTACTTTGTCTTGGCTAGTAAAACTATCAGGCTTAAGTCAAGCAGTTTCAAACATAATTTTCGATACCAAAACATACTTTTATAACAGAGTTAGATAAAAGCAATGGTATGTTTTTAACTACCCACCAGTAATAGCTAAAGTGATTGCAAAAAAAAGCCTCAGAATATAGTACAATCCAAATATACGTTTTTCCTTTTACAGTACTTCAACCAATAGCCTGACAGCTGCAATACCTACCACATTTTAAAGACGGGTTGTTTGCCTGCTGATTCTTTCCATCTTTCTCTTTTTTAATATTCTTTGAATCTAAAAGACAAGATTCCATTACATAATAAATGCAACATTCACATCGTAACGATGTCCAGCATAACACAGAATGTTTTCATTCAATACAGAATATCTTGTTCCAAATATTGATTTCCTTTACTCATTTCAGTGCATAATCAAAAAGGTACTTGTACTATAAACTGAATCACTGCAGTACTATTTATGACTACTTTATATGACATTATCAGAATAAATCTAGTTGCAGAAAATGGTAGTGTTAGCCTCAGAAAGAACAACCTTATCCTAATTTTTTAACAGCTTTACTCAAGCTACACACAATTTGAGATCCTCAGAATCACTGGTTATCTTTTTAAATCTTACCTAGACCACCATGTACTGAAAACCAAGAAAAAACAAACTCACCCTAAAAGCATATTTCCAAGTTAAAGATTGCATTCTATATTTAAATTCTTGAATATTCACATGCAAGCAGTTATCTCAGTGCACACATCAGTTATTAAAAAAAAATAATTCATAAGAATCTACCTTCTCTATCACTCATCTCTGACACATACAGCAAGGAGTCTGCAATATTTCATTCCGGGGGGATTTAAGTATGTATGAGAGACCCAGGGGACTGGGAAGGTACAAAGGAGAAGACTGAGGCAGCTCCACTCATTCCTTTCAGTCTTTAAAATACTGGTTTGATGACCTGCTTTGGACACTCATAGACTCAAGCGCAATTCAAATACAACACTGAGTTGGCAACCAAAGTGCAAGTACATTTTCAGATCTAAAAAGTTGATCAAGCTCTGTGTAGCAGAATAACTGGCTTGGTTTGTAAACACCTCAGCACTATGAATGGGACCGCTTGTCTGGGAAAGCACATGCCTTAGCTCACGCCTTGGGCCATCCTAGTTAGCCCAAACTAACAGGTGAAGAGATGACTCACTTGAGACTCTGTTGGTAGCGATTCTTGTATTCATTCACACTTATGTCTTTCACTATTGACTGGTATGTGAAATAAAAAACACTTCTAACGTAGAATAAGTAGCATTTGGTGACCAGAAACACATGAGATCCAGGTTGTTCTGCAGCAAATATTAAGCCCTAATAGTGTTCCCAAAGAAAAATCCTTAAGTAGGTCAACTTTAGATGGACCTGCTGAAATGCTTCTGGATGAGGCCCACAGAGTTCTAACCCCAGTACTTCATCAGGAAGGGTGTTAAGCCACACAAGTGGACACCCTATGTCCCGACAACAAATAACAGTGGGAATCTGAATGGGGCTAGCGTTATAGATAGTTCAGAAAAAATTACTAGACACAAAGCTAACATTCCCTTCCAACCCTAATGATTCTGTGATCCACCTCCTCCCTTCTACAGACCAAAATACATTTCATCCAGCCTCTTCAGGATGAACTGAATCCAGCTAGTTTTCTACTGGCGGTGGCAGTCTCTACCAGCAGAGCCTTTTGCCATGTTCTTCAAGCTAAATTAGTCAGGTTTTCCCCAAAACTATCATAAGACTATTGCAGACATCAGACTGACAGCTTACAGAATGGATAACTTCCAATTGGCTTATTTCCGAAAAGGAAATCCAACAGAGTCCCACATAAGAGACTTACTGAAGAAAAGAATTAATAACTGCTTCCTGTGAACACCCAAAGCTTGAAAGGGTACAGTCATGAAAGAGTATCTACCCAACAGTGCCAGATTTCAAACAACATGACAGCCTTTCGTGGTGAGAGACATCAAGAACAGGTGAAGGAATGAAAAACCACAGCCTGGACACCAGATGAGTTTCACTGACAACCACCACCCAAATTATTTATTTCATTTGCCACTTAGGTTTAGTGCCTACCTCACAAATATCACAGCTAATACAAATGCTGAAATGGAACACTTGGCAACACATTTTTCTTATCATCAGCCATTATAAAACTACAAGAATAAGAAGAGGTAATGACATTAATTAATGAGAAGAAATGGATTCCTCACTAGCACTTTAAACATCTGTTTCATTTGAGGTGGAGGTATCTTCATTCATAATAAGCCCAAAGCATCATTAATATCACTTGGTTTTGATGGCCAGAAATCAGAAATTTACATTATAAAACACCAAGGTAAAACTCACCTAGCACATGCAGAAGCATCCAAAAGTAAGTCTGAATAAAACTAAGATCAAAAAGATCACTGAAAACAAAGCTAAGACATGGAAGACTATTGAATCACTGGGCTTAGGAAGATGACTCCCTCAGCATATGACCCTCAGCTTGGTCAAACTTTGAGGTCAAACTTCAAAAATTACGTTATGAACGAAGGAAATGCATCTGCAGGTACAAAGGGTATTTTCTTTTCATCTCCTTCACCTAGCCACAGTGAAACCTGAGAAATGGACTTGAAGATAGGCACTTTATTCATACACTGGAGACAGAACAAACATCAGTTTTAGAGTCTTGAAGCTCATGGTGACATAAAAAAAGGTCATTATATATTTTCCTCTATTCATAAAGTTCATTTTCAAAGAGACAAGCTTCAGTCTAGTTTCCAATATAAAACACAGTATATGTGTTAGACCATTTTGTCAAAGCACAAACAAAAATGAAATACTGCTGCTGTGGGCTTCATCACATGCTACTTGGCTCAGACGAAAGAACAGTATCCCATTTTCAAAGAAAGTTAAAAAAAAAGTTATACATACAAGTATATAGAATTTTTACATTCACTATGTAAATATATATACATTTAGCCTATAATACTAATACAAGCTAAATACTTATTTTCAAAACCCCATGAAAGATTATTTTCTTTTAGGTAGTGATATTAGAATACAGCATATACTAAAATTACAAAAGTAGCATGTTCTATAGTTCACCAACTACCTGTTTTTCTGTGGTGCACTTCATAAACTAAAGCTGTAAATACAAAACATAGTGAGAGATCATTTAAAACAGTGTTTTCTGCTTCCCAATTCAAAACTTCATGTGTTTACATTACTCCCACCCTATCTGTAACCACAGAATTCTGCTGATAAGATTACTCAGCAGAAGACAGGCAGAACCACATCTATCATGCAAGAAATTAGAGACGAGGAAGAAAAGAAAAAAGCTATCTTAACTGAGTTTGAATGCAAAAAAAAAAAAAATGCTCTTTTAGTATATAAGGTCTGGTAAAGATAATCCTGGTGACCAATGTATAGTTCCTCTTATAAACTCCCATGTTGAACTCCAGCTTCTCATCTGAGATGCTTTAAAAATCCACAACACTTCTTTCTGGGAAAAATTAACCTTTCAACAAGCAAGATGACATCTTCTGACAGCATTAGTTTTTACCAGAGGATGGTGTACTACATGAAGAAGCATATATGTGTTATCTTCTAAGACTTGCTATTTGCTTGCTGTCCAACGTAGGCAAAAAGCAGTTTACTGTCATGCTTCTGAGATTTTCACAGCTATTTCTTAGCCACCTTAAAATCTTCAACTCTGATGGATGTTCAAAGCATGGCAGGAGACCACTTTTCTCAAAGAAACCCCTCGTCTCTTCCTGAAGGATGTGAAATGCTTTGGGGTGACTGAGACATTTGCTCTTTCATGCCACATAGCTACCCACCATCAGATGAAATTTACTAAGACTTACCACTGCTCAGGAGGAGGCCTTCTTCACTCCCTTCCACCCAGGGTTGTGAGCTAAACCTACCCTTTGCTAAGCCTCAGTGCACACAGTTGAAGATATATAGACCAAGTTAATAAGAAATGTCTCCTTTCCCTTCTTTTTGCACTTCCTTAGTGGGTTTCTTATCTTATCTGCCCGGAACAGTGTCTCTTTTAGTGTATTTAGACAACAGCCATACAGAAAACCTACAAGAGAAGGGGACAGACTTCCTCCATAAACTCTTGGTGCAACAATTAAACAGATAACTCCTGCCATTACAGAAAATCTATTATAACAAAAGCAATTATTTACCAAGGGAGCATGCAAGCACATAAAGCAGCTTGGGCTGAAGATGGAAAGCTCAAGAAAAATACAAGTGTTAGCAGCCTTTTCTGGGGGAGGACTAACCGTCTGAAAGCTTTGAAAAGCAGCAGCAACCTGGTTTCAGTGTGTCTTTTTTCACATTCTCTTTGTTTCACTAACCCAAACACCCTTGTTTTTTCTTAAGCTTCACTCTTTATTTTAGCAGTTATTTCATGATTAACTTTGGCAGACCTGACACTGCAGAAATCACACCTTTGTAATACGCTGTGCATTCATGGAGAAATTTCTTTAAAAATGCACATTTTGTCTTTAAGAGACAGCTGCTAATGCCATTCATGGTGGTAAAATGTTATTCCTTTTACTACTAAGTTATTGTCTTACTGAATTATATGCAACTACAGAATGAAACACTACATTTTATTTAATATCACACCCAGACACATTCTTCAATTTTAAAGTAGTATAATGGCTTCAAAGATGTCACAGGAAAAAAAATGCTTTGGTTGGACTTGTAAAACTCCACGATAAGCCAAATTTAGCATATTTACTCTAAAACAATATGAAGTTTGAACTTAACCTGTATTCAGTACATATCATAAACTGTCTTCTTTATTCTAACAGTATAGTAATATTCAAGTAATATCCCACCCACCTTTAAAATGAGAATTCAGCAGGTTCCTCATTTTCCTTCCTCTTGGAAAAAAGCTACCAAGCCTTACCTTTAGCTGCTGTTCTCCCCATGGTAACACTTCTGTGATCTCCCCTCTCACAATAAAAAGGCTGAAGTTGAAAGACCAGTTAATTCTTCCTTTCAGCACAACAGTTTCCTGTGGAGTAGTAATACAACAAGTTAGGGGGGAGGTTGTTGTTGGGGTTTGGGTTTTTTTTTTTTTTGAAAGGAGGATTTTATTTTTGTATTGGTGTATAATTATCTTGCTGGTACTAAGTTGCAAATGTTTAACAAACTATGTGTAGAACAGCATGTAAACAATGGACATAGCAAACTAGCAAGGGTACAGAACCCAAACTTTTATTTCATTGTTTTAGACCATTCATTGTATAATAATTTGCATTTTCCTGTGGATTTCTAATACAAAGATACAAAGCATGCTTTATCCCTTTCTTCACCAACAAACATTACTTGAAAAATGAGTGAAAGACTTCTATATACAACCCACTCATCCTGCCTCACTTGTTAAACAATTATCAACTTAAACACCTTTAGGTAAAACACAGAGTCTTGCACAACTATGGTAAAAGTGGGAACAAAACACTGATGTAAGAGATCTACACAAAAGCCCAAGTGCTCACTGATACCCCTGCCCACTATGACTTGTAATAGAGCAGAAAGAACCTGGTAGGGAAACGGTTACTGCAGATGAAAGTAGCAAGCCACATTACTGTAATGTTTAGAAACTAGAAGGGCCAGATTAAACTATTGCAAAAGAGCAAAACCAACCTTTAATTTTGTGTGTGTGCACGTCATTACTGTGATTAGTTTGTAATGTACATTACATTACAAACTCCAGCACCTAGTTTTTGAACTCTGTGTTCAAGTCCCATGGCTAAAGCTAATTAAATATGGCTTTAAAAATGCCATTGACTGAAGAATTCATTTTTTGTGTGTGTGAACATGGTAGACCATTATTAGAAATATTCTCAAGATTGAGACTTGAAAGCAGTTATAAATAAAACTGAATCCTACCATAAAATAAGCAGGTTTTGCTACACAATCTCATTCATAGCATAAGTGGTCATCAGGATTAAGACCAGAAATCCTTTTAAGCCACAAGATAGATTTGAAATACTTGATACTTTCATAAACTCCCCCAAAAATTCAAAGCTTTTCCACTGCAAGTAATAAATCGTGAAAGGTGATGCAGAGTCAAAGTAACTGTTTTTACAGATTACTTTAAAAGAGTGCATGGTTTTTATCTTTTTGTTCCAAGTACCAGATTGCACTTGGTGCAGTAATAAAGATTCCAGCCCCGCAGTGATAGTCATCAAGTTTAGCACAACCGGAGCGTCTGTCAGAACATAAAAAGGATTCCAGCTTTTCATTAGCTTGTATTGTACCAGATAGGCCGTTTTACAGCATGCCCACCAGCCTGTTAAAAATATAAGATAACTGAAGTTTTGAAAGTGCTGCCTGAAATGCGGCAAATCCAACTGCAGAAATAAAATACACCACTGTTTCAGAGAGGTGCTACTTAAAACCCAGTTACACCTAAGTATTCAATTTAAAGCTGCTATTAAATTAGCTTGTAGATAGCGCTGTTTATCACAGAAAACATTCAAGAACAGTATTTCTGAGCCTCTGTTTAACAACTGCTCATGCTGCTGAATTAGAGCAAAATGAAAACCAGTTACCTCCAACACAGAGCAGGGTCAGTCTGAAACAAAGCATAACCTCTTTTGCAAGGGAAGACCTAGAACATCTTTCCATCACCTCACATAATTAAGCAGCAAACCATAAGGAAGGCAGTTACGTCCTTTGCTAACCAAGACAGAGATCTCTTACGCTGCACTCACCATCACCAGCCTTGCTCAACTCACAGTACACCCACCATAGGAGAGAACTGCCAGCAAATACAAGAGAGAAACTTCCAGGGAGTTTGGGCAAAATTACGTAGCAAGGACAGAACTTGTGGCACTCTTGTATGTGCACCTCGGCAAGCAAGCTGAATGATACAGAAAGCTGGGGTTAAGAAATTAATCTAGCAGCTTCTAGAAACTTTCTAGAAATGAAAGGGAAAAAGCGCAAGAAAACCAGGTCAGGAATATACCAGCAAATAAATGTGATGCAAGGCTGAAGCATTATGGCATTAGGGTGTGCAAAGCAGCAGAATGAAAATCGAAGTTACAGGGATCAAGTTAAGCATAGTGATCATCAGAAAATGGTCAAACACCAAAAAGACATGAACCTAGGATAACACAGCATTCATCATCAAAACATCTCCAATTTAAAGAGTAGTGGAGGATCTCCACACTCATGAAGTGTATTATTTACACAATTTACATCTCAATTCATCCTGTAAACTGAGGTGTTTTTTTTATCTCCGATTAGCATCCCTTACATCAGTTACTTTTCAAAAAAATCAAGATAGAAAGCATTCATCTGCCCTTAATCCCTCACTGAAGTTTTTATTGTTAATCCCCAAATCACTTCCACTAGCCACCTCCCACTGTGCAAGCCCTTTGTCAGAAAGCAGTATATTAGTAGACAAGCTGATGCTTTCACCTTCTCCTCGTTGCTACTGCATAATGCTAGGTGTCAGACAACAGGATGGAAAACATTTTTCCTCTCTAACTTTGCTCTTCTGATTTTGAAAGAATTACTCAAAGGACATGCATGGCTGCATTTCAGAGAAGCTAGTGTTCCAGAGATGTCAAAAACATTCTCTGTTTTGCCTGCAAGATCTCTCCATTATCCTTCTCACTGTAAGACAGGCACTCAAGTAATCTGAAAGTCCTCAAAAAAATCATGCCTATTTAAGACTTCCCAGTTTATAGCACGCCTGCTCATAAAAAATACAAAGCACAGAATTACAGAGATAAACACAACATTTTTAAAAAGCCTAAGTGACCAGCAGATTGTTGGTTTAGTCCCCATCAAAAAGATTAAAGGTTTTTCCGTCAATGACTGTATCTCATTCTTGGAGGTAAAAGAGAGACACTAATTTCAGAGACAGTTAGCTTTTTGACTCTACTGGTGGTATAAGTGCAATAACTCAGACCTCATCACTGCCATCCTCCAGGGATGAAGGGACAGCTGTCAATGTGCAGCCCCCACTGGATAAGGACTGAGGCTATTCTTTTACATAGATACACAGCACAGAAGAGAATCCAACAAAACATCCACTCTGAAACATAGATTAAGTTCTCCTTAATCTTAGCTTGAAATACAGGCAGACATTTTTCAGGCTAAGTCTGAACAAGAAGTTTTAGTTGCCCCTCTCTTCTGCCTTTTTTTTTTCTTTTACAAATGTTTCCAGATCAAATTTCCATACACAAGGAGGGGAAAGGGGAAACACACAGTTTGAACAGCAAAATCAGCCAGAGACAGAGAACAGGCACAACGTAAGCAAAAAAAATTATTCTCCCCAAACTCTTTTGTACGTACAAGTACTACATTTGCTTTCACCACCAGCATTCACATGCTGTCAGCTTTAGAAACACAAGAGGCACCATTTACAACCACTGGCCAGTATCATCATGCTCCCATTGCTGTAACTGCTCCTCACCTCATTCTTGCTATTTGTTACGGCCAATACATCAGAGTATTTCCTCAAGAAAAGGACCTGCACAGCCTCCTCCATGGACCAAAACACAGACCAGCAGCTGCAGATCCCTCTCCAGCTTCCACACACAGGTAACATGTACCTAACAGGCACCACTCACTTCTCGAACACATGTGACTTGACTGCACTCCTTGAAAGTTATCCTTCATGAGTCTGGAATACATTTTTTTAAACCTAATCATCTACTGACCAGTTATCTCTTGAATAAAAACCCTACTTCATACTATTTTCACAATTCCCTAAGGAGGTTTAAAGAGGCAAATAAAGAGAGTAAGACTCAAAAGGAGTATTTCTATAACATGCAATACTTTCAAATTTCCAGTACTTGAAAATTTACTTTCCAGCAAATTATCCAATGTGTAGACTCACTGAGTACACTTCAAAACACAACAGCATGTACTTCCTCATTTCTGTAATAAAAATAATTGGCACCTTTTAGAGCATACTGTGGCATCATCATAGAAAAGGAAGATCTCAAAGACTAAAAGAAAAAAAACTTACACAAATGTATCAGAAGCTTATAAAATGTAACACAAGCTATATAGTTCTTTCAAGGAAAGCAAATTAAACTTTCATGTTTTCATAAAGCAGAACTTGCAATGAACTGATGTATCTGAACAGACCTAAGAGAGACAGGCTTTTGTCAAATTTACAGGCTCTCAAAAGAATAACTATTAGCTAGCTATATGTATTATTACAACAACTAAGTTGAAGTATTTCTTAAGTTGTTAAAGGAAGAAAGTGGGTACTTGGTGCTTTACAAGTATCATTTTATAATGTCACTTGCCTTAACATCAAGAAGAGAGTTTCTACACTTGCAAAATTCCTCAGAAAGTCACCAGTAGTGTACTGCTCACTATTTACAAAGTGATTAGCATAAACAAACTTTTAAGATGTCAGCAGTAAAATATTGCCTGTAACTGTTCAGCCCTCTCTCCAGGTAAGTTTATGATCTACTTTAGAATACGAGCAACTGTAATTACAGTAAGTCATACATTTCAAGACTACAAAAGCCTCTCTAAACTCTGAAACCATACTAAGTGTATTATTCAGTACAGAGCAAGGCACTGTGTATTTTAAAAAGCAACGCAAATAGGTTTTAGACCAAAGATGCATCCCAAAAATTCCTGAAACAAGAAATACTTATAAATGAGAAGAGAGGAAAAGTAAAGCCTCCAAACTAAACAGCATAGCTTTTAGTGTGTATCAACACACAACAGAAACAATTTATGTCATGTAGATTCAACAATTACAGATTTCACAGTAACTTTACAAATTAAAGTTTAAAGCTGCTCTATGGCTACCAGTGGAAAATAAGAATAGCTTTTCTCTTTCCCTCTCTCCCCATCCTGCTTTAAAAGTCAGAAGATGCAGGGTTGTAAAACCTGAAAAAGGAAATGGTATGTGTGAAGTCAGCAGTTCAGCAAAGCGGCTGACCAGCCATTAACAGCTTTAAATATTCTTAAAATGCCAGTCTTCCCACATGAAGGGGTATTTTAATGTTATAGTCAAATAAATCAAAAATA